TTTTTTGGACACAGAATAATGGGTCTTGTAAATTCTTTTACCTGAAATGGAACGAGACTGTCATCTGGAACACTGGAGAGCTATTACAGGTCCTTATAGCAAAACTTGGAATCATCCTGTGAAGCTGATTGGATAGGGATTCTAGAAAAAGGGTGGCAAAAGTGTGGGCTGTAGGCCACATGTTGTTGGGGATTTTGCAACTTAAGCATTCAGATCCTTCTAGGAAGACAGATGAATGTCTATGATATTTATTGCTTTATGACCCCTTCAATTTTCTCCTCCTAAAAAAAGAGCAACTTCTTCTTTGTCTCTGGAGGAATCGCCATTATGTTCCTCCTTTGGTTCCCTGACCAGGGCAGCATGACTTTCTAGCATGCTGATAAGAAACTTTCTCTGCAAGCATGTAGGCTATTTTCTATCTCATTTTCTTGGTAACATGTAGCTTTACCTGTGCATGAATATGCACATGATTTTGTAAGTAAATTTATCTTTTTATATTTTTCTAAGAACTTTGTCTTAGTTCTTTTTTGAAAGACACATGGATGCTGGAGATGAAAAGTGGACTAGATTGATTTTTCCTGCTCATGCATTTTCTGCTGTGTTCACTTTGCTGGTGAGATTAAATCAATCTCTCCTATTTTCCTGAGCTTTCTAATAAAACGCAAGAAAAATTCCATCACATGTGGCTCTCAGACCACAGTTTTGTAGCCTCAATGGCCTGTGACAGCTCTCTGGACCCCTTCCTTTTAAAATTTTATTTTACTTACTTTGATTTCCAGTTGATTTTTTTTCATGACATATCATCCCAAATAGGATTTGGAGCAATCGATTCAAACTACAGGGGAATAATAATAATAATAATAATAATAATAATAATAAATTAATAATAATAATAATAAAAATTATTTGTATCCTGCCCCTCTGTCAAGCAATCAGGGTGGCTTACAGCAATTAAAATTCCAAATTATGTGTTACAATCCAATCCAAAAAAAAGGGCATAGGGCCTCGGCAGACGACTAATTGAGTCGTCTTCCGGGCCCAGAA